AAAAAAAAAAAAAAAAAAAAAAAAGAAAAAAGAAAAAAATGAAATAGAAAACAGAAAAAACAATAGAGAAAAGTTAATGAAACCAACCAAAAGCTGATTGTTTGAGATCAATAAAATTGATCAACTTCTAGCCACTCTGACAAGGAGAAAATGAGAGAATACATAAATTACAAATACCAGGAATGAGAAAGGTGACATCTCTATAGATTTTACAGATGTTAAAAGGATAATATGGGGGATATAATGAATGACTTTAGCCTAATAATTTCAACAACTTATAGGAAACAGGCAAATTTCTTGAAAGACACAAACTACCAAAGCTCAATCAGGAAATAATAGATAACTTGAATAGCCCTATATCTATTAAAGAAATTGAGTTTATAATTAAAAACCTTCCCATAAAGAAAACTCCAGCCCCAGATGGCTTCACTGGTGAGCTCTATCAAACATTTAAGGAAGAAATAATACGAATTGAGCAATACAAACTCTTCTAGAAAACTGAAAAGGAGGGTATATTTCCCAACTCATTCTATGAAGTCAGTATTACCCTGATGGCAAAACCAAAAACATTACAGGAAAAGAAAACTACAGACCAGTATCACTCACGGACACAGGTACAAATATTCTTAAACAAACTGTCAGCAAATCAAACTAACATTATATAAAAAGGAGAATAGATCACGACCAACTGGAGCTTATCCCAGGAACACAGCATTGGTTTAACAGTTGAAAATCAATGTAACTGACCATATTAACAAACTTTTTAAAAAATTGATCATTTCAATAGATGCAGAAAAACCATATGACCAAATTCAACATCCATCTCTGAGAAAAAAAAAACAGAAAATTGGAAATAGAAGGGAACCTCCTCAACTTGATAAAATGTATCTATGAAAAACCTAGAGCTAACATCATATTTAATGCTTAAAGATCAAATACTTTCCCTCTAAAATCAGGAAAAAGCCAAGGATGTCCGCTATCATCAATTTTTTTTTTTTTTGTGAGAAAGATCAGCCTTGAGCTAACATCCATGCCAATCCTCCTCTTTTTGCTGAGGAAGACTGGCTCTGAGCTAACATCTATTGCCAGTCCTCCTCCTTTTTTTCCCCAAAGCCCCAGTAGATAGTTGTATGTCATAGTTGCACACCCTTCTAGTTGCTGTATGTGGGACACCGCCTCAGTGTGGCCGGAGAAGCGGTGCGTCGGTGCACGCCCGGGATCCGAACCCAGGCCGCAAGTAGCGGAGCACGTGCACTTAACCACTAAGCCACGGGCCGGCCCCGGCTATCATCAATTTTACTCAACATTGTACTGGAGATTCTAACAAGTACAATAGACCAAAAAAATGAATTGCACCCTGATTGGACAGGAAGAAGTAAAATTGATTTATTCACAGACAACATGATCATCTATGTAGAAAATCTGATGGAATCTACAAGAAAGCTACGGGAACTAATCAGTGAGTTTAGCAAGTTTGTAGAATACAAGGTCAATGTACAAAAATCATTGTATTTCTACATACTAGCAATAGGCAATCAGAGACTGAAGTTTTTCTAAATGCCATTTAAAATAGCATAAAATATAGTATACTTAAGGATAAGTCTGACAAAAGATGCACAAGACCTGTACACTGAAAAATAGAAAAGACCGCTGAGAGAAATAAAAGACCTAAATAAATGGAAGTATATAACTTGTTCATGGATTGGAAGATGTCAATTCTCTCCAAATTGATCTATAGATTCAATGTAATCCCAACCAATATTCACTTTTGTAGAAATTGAAAAACTGATTCTAAAATTCATAGAGATATACAAAGGACTTAGAATGGCCAAAATTTGAGAGAAGAACAAAATCGGAGGACTAACACTACATGATTCCAAATTTATTACATAGTGACACTAATCAGGACAGTATGGGAATGATGTAAAGATACATGAATAGATCAGTGTAACAGAATGAAGAGTCCAGGAAGTGACCCACTCACACATGACAACTTATTTTCAATAAAGATGCAAAGGCAATTCAGATGAGAAAGGATAGTTTTTTAAATAAATGATGCTGGAATGACTGGATAGCCATGTGCAAAAAAATGAACTTCAGTTCATACCTTAAATCAAATACAAAAATTAAGGCAAAATGGATCACAGAACTAACCCTAAACCTAAACTTGTAAAATTTCTAGAAGAAAACATAGGAGAAATTTTTTGTGATCTTGGATTAGGCTAAGATTTCTTAGATATAATACCAAAAGCACAGTCAATAAAAGACGAAAAAAGATAAATTAGACTTTGTCAAACTTCTCATGAAAGATACTGATAAGAAAAAATTTGTAAAATACATATCTGATAAATAACTTGTGTCTAGAATATATAAAGAACTTTCAAAACTCAATAAGAAGAAGACAAAGTTTCCTACAGAAAACTGGACAAAAGATTTGTACAAATACTCCACCAAAGAAGATATATGGATGCCAAATATTAGACATTATGGAAATGCTAATTAAAACCACAGTAAGATACCACTATTCAACTATTAGAATGGCTAAAAATTTTTTTAAATGGATAATTCCAAGTGCTGGTGAGAATGTAGATCAACTGGAACTCTCATACATAGCTTGGTAGAATGTAAAATTGTATACCCACTTTGGAAAACAGTTTGGCAGTTTCTAATAAAGTTAAACATATACTTACCATACAACACAGCAATCGCACTCCTAGATATTTACCCTAGAGCAGTGAAATCTTATCATCACACAAAATCTGTAAATAGATGTTTATACCACCTTTATTCAAAATCACCCAAACTGGAAACCATCCAAATATCCTTCAACTGGTGAATGGGTAAACAGACTGTGGTCCATCCATCCTATGGAATACTACTCAGCAACAAAAAAGAACAAACTATGGAAACACACAACAGCATGAATGAGTTTCGAATGCATTATGCTAAGTAAAAGAAGGCAGGCTGAAAAAGCTTCATACTATATGATTCCATTTATATGACATTCTGGAAAAGGAAAAACTACAGAGATAGAAATAAGATCAGTAGTTTCTAGGTCTGGAAGTGATGGGAAGGAGTGACAACAAAGAGGCTTGAGGTAATTTTTTGTTCTATAACTTGATTGTGGTGGTGGTTACATGACTATATGCATTTGTCAAAACTCATAGAATTATTAATATAAATAAACCTCATAGAATCATACATTAGCAAGAGCAAATTTCATTATATGCATCTTCAATAAACATGACTTTAAAAAATGGTCACAGATAACTGGGGAAGAAATAAAAAGATTGAGCTGATGTTATGTTTAAAAAGTAAAATAATTTTATTTTAATAGAATGTTAAAAGAAAAGGAAAGCTATTTTTTTGCCATTTCTGCTGGCAAAAAGTTTCAAGTTCTTTTATCTTTCAACATAATGTATTAAGTAAAACAAATGTCCAGAAATCTCTAATGAAAACACTGATGATGGATATGACAGCAATATTAACCTTGATAAAGAGCTGACTCCAATTTGCTACTCCTTAATTAACATATGGGTATACTTTACTATCCTGAACATTTCTTTTTCAATGCAGGATAAACCATCTTTCTTTTTCTTACAGAGTGAATAACAAAGCCCATTGCACACAGTAGGTATTCATAAATAGTTGCTGTGATATTGTGATTTATAATAAGAAATATATATTTGGTTTTCATTCCTGTTTCTGGCACAGAGCTCCTAAAACCCTTGGAACTTCCTAAGTGCAAAGAGCCATTAAGGTCTTTTCTTATGTTAATGAGGTGACTTTTGGACCCCATCTAAAGATGAGGGCTTGTTGCCAATGGAGCCAACCATGTGATTAGAGGATTGAAACTTTCAGTCCCATGTCCTGTCTCCAAACCACCCACTCCCCCGCAACCTCCATGGAGGAGTGAGGGGCTGGAGGTTGAATCAGTTGTCAATGGACAATGATTTAATCAATCACGCCTATGTCATGAAGCCTCCATAAAAACCCAATCGGAGAGCTTCCAGGTTGGTGAACATGTGGAGATGCAGGGAGAGTGATGTGCCTGGAGAGGACATGAAACCTCTGTGCCCCTTCCTACATACCTTGTCTCTGGGTAGATAGTGTCAGAACTGAGTTGAATTCTTGGACACCTTGGTGTCCAAGAATTGCTTGTTGGTGTTGGGGGAAACTCCCCCCCAACACACGTTGGAAATTGGATGCTCAGAACACCAGAAAGAGTTGCTTAATTGGATTAGTATAAATTCTGTTTGAATTCATTAATTCAAGCTTCTCAATTTCTCAACTTGTGCCTTTCACAAAGGGCAACCAGTCTGGAGTTCAAATTGCTCCACGATTTGCCCAGCTACCCTGATGGCTGAACAGGAATAATATCATAGCATAGGCATATCTGTAACTAAGTCAAGATACATGTTGGGGCAGACACACCAGCTAGGAAACTTTGCTTAACTTAATGGAAAGGACACAGCATTAATGGGATGAGGTTCATGTAAGCAATTCCAAAACTGTAAACTTTGTGGACAGAAACTCCATTTCATGGCCAAATCTCTCACCAACCCCCTTCCAAATAAGTGAGGACAGTCAAAAGGTACCCTGGAGACTTCCATTCTCTACAGACAATTCTTAACTGATACGGACTTGCAGTATAACCTCCCCCTGCCCCACAGCTTTTTAAACTTAATTTTTGAATAGGTTGGTTCAAATGACAGAAAGTACAAAAAAGCATATAGTGACAAGACTTTCCTCCCAATTCTTGTCCCACATCTGTCTAGTTGCTACTCCTTCAACAGGTAGCCTTTGTTCTTTTATTGTTATGTAACCTTCCATAGTTTCTTTTTGCATGGTTTTATCATCTTTACATAGGAAAGGTAGAATATATATTCAATTCCATTGTTCTAAAAACAATGTTTTTTTCTATTATGGTCAAAGAGGATTATTTATTCTTTGTGTTAACAGTTAAATATAACTCATAAATAACATTTATACCTCTGTCAGAGTTGCCCTCTAAGACTGCAATCTTGAATATATAAAATTGAGTGAAAATATTTGCAGGATCACGTTGTTCAGCTTCTGTCACTGCCTCTTTAGCCTGAAAAAAAGAAATATTGGTTCTCTTTTATAAAAGCTATAAGGAATACCTTACCATATTTTACTAATATCATTAACAATAGCTGAGAGATACTCATAATGAAAAGACATGAATCTAAGAAAAATCTTTAAAGGACTGTTCTCTTAAAATGCTAAAGAAACAAGGAGTTCTGCTTCTGAAAATAGGGTACATTATATATGTCAGACCAACCCTCCTACTGAAAACAAACAAAAAATTGGATAACATTTATTTAAATTCCAAAAGCAACTGACAAGATAGTACAGCAATTACCAAGCAAAATCTAAGAAAAAGAGAGGTCCCAGAGAAGTAAGTAGAGAATTAAAGCCACGTTTTTTTCTGGTGGACATTTGTAAATCTAGGCAAATGTTAACTTTAGTTTTAATGGACTTCACTAGGACAGGGAAATAGACTTCAAGGTCCAAGAGATCACACTCTTAGGCTAAGTGCAAACCAGCAGGAGACCCACTCCTACCCATATCGCCAGGGGACTGCAAAGAAAGTTACCTTGGTTCTGAGAAGAATGCAGAAAAATGGGGTGGGGATAACCAATCTCTGAGGTGTAACACAAACAGACTCTCATGTATTTACAGCCCCAAATTACACTATATGGGAGGCCAAAAGGCTCCAATCTATGAATTTAGTTTACATTGATCCCAAACATCTGAAGAAACAAATGTAAATCCTCTCTGGGGGAAGGTACCTTCATTGTAGGCTTCAAAATATTTCCATAAATAATTTCTCAAGAATCATGAGTAGTAAACATAAAAAAAAAATCAAGCACACTAGGAAACAAGGCACCATAAGTGAGAATCAGCAGAAACAACAGATAGCAGAAACAGATTCTCAAGATGCAGATACCAGAATTTTCAAAAGCTGGCTATAAAATACCTATGTATTCAAAGTTTAAAGAAATAAAAGATATGCTTAAAAATATACATAAGTAGGTTGATATTCAATAGTACATATTGATACAATTACAGTGGCTGATTCCAGCTGGTATCCATTCTGATTGATTACTGTCCATGCTATATCAATTGTTAAACACTTTGACTACCACAGAAGTTTGTAGGAAACAGAAACCATAAAATGTGACCTTGCTGATTTGAAAAAAAAAGAACTACTTGAAACAAAAAATACAATAACCCCAATGGAAACATAATGGATAGGTTTAATAGCAGACTGAAATAGGTGAAGAAAAAATTAGTGAACTGAAGGATAAAACAGAATAAGTTAGCCAAACTGCAGCACAGAGAGATTACAAACATGGAGGACAGTTACATAAGAATTCTATTCTTTTTAGGACAACCACTAAAAGACTACAAACAGTAAATAATTTCCATACTAGTAGAAGGGGGACACTAGAAAGTAAAAAAAAAAAAATGAGGATAGTTTTTTCAAGAAATGGTGCTGGAACAACTGGACATCCACATGCAAAAAACTGAATCTGGACACAGACCTTAAACCTTTCACAAAAATTAACTCAAAATGGATGAAAAACCTAAATGTAAAACCCCAAATTACAGAACTCTTAGAAGGTATCATAAGAGAAAATCTAAGTGACCTTTAGTTTGGTGATAACTTTTTAAACAAAATACCAAAAACACAACCCATTAAAGAAAAAATTGCTCTGCAAAAGACATTGTTAAGAGAATGAAAAGGCAAGCCACACTGTGGGAAAAAATATTTGCAAAACACATATCAGATAAAGGACTGGTACCCAAAATATACCAATAATTCTTAAAACTCAACAATAACAAAAGAAGCAACCCCATTATACAATGAGCAAAAGATTTAAACAGAAACCTCACCAAAGACATACAGATGGCAAATGAGCATAGAAAAAGATGCTCGACATCATATTTCATTAGAGAAATGCAAATTAAAATGAGATACCACTACACACCTATTAGAATGGCTAAAATCTAAAACACCAACAACACCCAATGCTAGTGAGGAAGTGCAGCAACAGGAATTCTCATTCATTGCTGGTAAGAATGGAAAATAGTAGAGCCATTTTGGAAGACAGTTTAGCAGTTTCTCACAAAACTAAAAATATTCTTGCCATATGATCCAGCAGTTTCACTCCTTGGTATTTCCCCTAATGAGCTGAAAGCTAATGTCCACAAAAAACCTGCACATGAATGGTTATAGAAGCTTTATTCATAATAGTGAAAACTTGGAAGCAACTAAGATGTCCTTCAATAGGTGGTAAAAATATAGTCAAATTCAGAATACTCTAATATTGTAATGGTGATGCGTAAATCACTATTATCTCTATTATAAAAGTTAAAAATATATTAAAAATAACTATAGCTAAAATAATTTGTTAACAGATGTACAATATAAAAAGACAAAGTGTGAAATCAATAGCATAAAATGTGGGGGGAGTAGAAGTAAAAGTTTAGAGTTTTTTCTATGTGATTGAACTTAAGTTGTTGGCTTAAAACAGACTTATATCTAAAAGAAGTTTTATGTAAGCCACATGGTAACCACAAAGAAAAAAATCTTTAGTACATACATAAAAAATAAATAGAAGGAATTAAAGCACACCACTACAAAAAAAAAAAATCAAAAAGGAATAAAGGAAGTAAAGGATAAGGATAAGGATAAAGAATAAAGGAAGTAAAAACTCAGAAAACAATTAACAAAATGGGAATGGTAAGTCCTTATCTATCAATATTACTTTAAATGTAAATGGACTAAATTCTCCCATCAAAGACACAGAGTGGCTGAATGGATAAAAAAAAAAAAAAACCAAAAGGACAACATCCAACAATATGCTACCTACAAGAAACTCACTTTAGCTTAAAAACACACTGAAAGTGTGTTTAGCTGAAAATGAAGGGATGGAAAAAGATATTCCATGCAAATGGCAACCAAAAAAGCAGGAATGGTTATACTTATATCAGATAAAATAGATTTTCATCAAAATCAATCACAAAAGACAAAGAAGGTCACTATATAGTGATAAAGAGATCAATTCCTCAACAGGAGAAAACAATTGTAAATATATATGGACTCAACATTCGAGCACCTAAATATTTAAAGCAAATATTAACTGAACTGAAGGGAGTAATTGATGGCGATAAATAACAGTAGGGGACTACAACACCCCACTTTCAACAATGCATAGATCATCCAGACAGAAAATTAATAAAGACATAGTGGATCTGAATAATACTATAGACCAAATGGACCTAACAGACACATACAGAACATTTCATCCAATAGCACCATAAAACATATTCTTCTCAAGCACACATGGAACATTCTCCAGATCATATGTTGGGCCAGAAAGCAAGCCTTAACAAATTTGATAAGACTGAAGTTGTATCAAGTACCTTTTCCAACCACAATGGTATGAAACTAGAAATAAATAACAGAAGGAAAACTAAAAAATTCACAAATGCATGGAAATTAAACAATACACTCCTGAACAACCAATGAGTCAAAGAAGAAATCAAAAGGGAAATCAGAAAGTATTTTGAGACAAAAGAAAATGAAAATACAACATATCAAACTAATGGGATGCAGCAAAAATAGTTCTAAGAAGGAACTAGTTTATAGCAATTAATGCCTACATTAAGAAAAAGAAAAGATCTCAAATAAACAACCTAACTTTACACCTCAAGGAATTAAAAAAAGAAGAAAAAACTATGCTCAAATTTAGCAGAAAGTGGTAAATAATAAAGATTAGAGCATAAATAAATGAAATAGAAAAAAATCAATGAAACTAAGAGTTGGTTTTTTTGAAAAGATTAACAAAATTGACAAACCTTTAGCTAGACTAAGAAGAAAAGAGAGAAGACTCAAATAAATAAAATCAGAAATAAAAGAGAGACATCAAAACTGATGCCAAACAAATACACTGGATCATAAGAGACTACTAAGAACAATTATATGCCAACAAATTGGATAACCTAGAAGAAATGGATAAATTCCTAGAAACATACGACTTACCAAGGCTGAATCATGAAGAAAGAAAATCTGAATAGACCAATAATGAGTAAGGAGATTAAATCAGTAATCAAAAACCTCCCAACACAGAAAAGCCCAGGACCAGATGGTTCCAGTGGTGAATTCTACCAAACATTTAAAGAAGAATGAATGCCAATCCTTCTCAAACTACAAAAAATCGAAGAGGGAACACTCCCAAACTCATTTTATGAGGCCAGCATTACCCTGATAACAAAGCCAGATAAGGATACTACAAGAAAAAAACCTACAGACCAATATCCCTGATGACTATAGATGCAAAAATTCTCAACAAAATACTAGCAAATTGAATTAAATAGCACATTAAAAGGATCATACACCATGATCAAGTGGGATTTATCTCTGAGATGCAAAGATATACAACATATGCAAATCAATAAATGTGATACATCATATTAATAGAATGAAAATAGTAGAATGAAAAAATCATATGATTTTCTCAATAGATGCAGAAAAAGCATTTGAAAAAATTCAACATCCTTTCATGATAAAAGCTCCTGAAAAATTGGGTAAAGAAGGACCATACCCTAACATAATAAAGGCCGTATGACAAACCCACAGCTAACGTCATAGTCAATCGTGAAATACTGAAAGCTTTTCTTCTAAGATCAGGAACAAAACAAAGGTGCTCAGTCTCACCACTTTTATTCAACATAGTATTGGAAGTACTAGCCACAGCAATTAGACAAGAAAAACAAATAAAAGTCATCCAAATAGGAAAGGAAGAAGTAAAATTGTCTCTAAAGATGGCATGATCTCATTTACAGAAAACCCTAATGACTCCACCAAAAAAACTGTTAGAACAAATAAACAAATTCAGTAAAGTTGCAGGATACAAAATCAACATACAAAAATCAGTTGTGTTTCTATATACCGACAATGATATATCAGAGAGACATTTAGAAAATCCTATTTACAATAGCATCAAAAACAATGAAACACATAGTAACAAATTTTAACCAAGGAGATAAAATATCTGTACA